GCTTATTTATGCGGCAACTTGCTTTCTCTCTCTCCACGCTATTTGCTTGCTTGCTTAAACGCCTCTCTTTCCTTCTTTCTCAACCATCTATTCTTGCCATCTTCTCTCCACTTAACCGAGCAATGAGTGCTTTTTTCCCCGCCTTTGATCTAAACGTTCGTTTGGAAGAAGATGACGACAACAACCTTCCCATCGATCTCAACGAGCCAGTTTTGGAAGATGAGAACCACGGTAATGTGTCTTTCTCAGTTTGTTCTTTCTCATTTATATGAACAGCACCCCATGCAAATTATTTTCCTTTCTAAGTGTGGTCTTTCCTTTTCAACAGAATAGATTTGAACTTACCATTAGATGAATTTGGAGCTGTTGACTTTGATTACGTATAAAAAACCTCACCGGTACAGTCCTCTCTCACTTTGTTTTTTGTTTTACTAGTCATGCCGTGCCTAATTTGGAGCTGTTTTTTTTACTAGTCATGCCGTGCCTAATTTGGAGCTGTTTTTTTTACTAGTCATGCCGTGCCTAATTTGGAGCTGTTTTTTTTACTAGTCATGCCGTGCCTAATTTACAGTCCTCTCATTTATATGAACAGCACCCCATGCAAATGATTGTTTTTTTCCCTATAATTACATCATGTCGTCACTAATTTGGACTGTAAATAAGCTTGTTGTTATCATTATTAAAATGATTGGTTTTTTCCTTTAACTACATCATGCCGTGACTACTTTGTACTATTAAAAAGCTTGTTTTTTCGTTTTGCTAGAACAAGATGGTGATGCTCCCGCTCCACTACACCAACCGAAGAATGACTATTTTGATCGTGTTAGACAACAAGTGTATCAAGCATTGTTGATGAGAAGCAAAAATGGGAAACTAGGCAAGCATGATACAACAATTGTATCTAACAAATTTGGAGTAAAAATTAGATCAATTCAGCGCATATGGAGGCAAGGTAAAAACCAACTTTCTCAAAACATTCCGGTCGTGGTTCCTAATCTAAAGAAAGGTAGAAGTGGCCGCAAAGCAATCCCTCTAGATTTGGAAAAGTTGCGGGATATTCCTCTCAAGCAAAGGATGACCATAGAAGATGTGTCTAGTAAACTTGGTATTAGCAAATCTAGGATACAAAGGTATTTGAAAAGGGGTTTCATTAGGCGCCACTCTAGTAGCATCAAACCTTACCTCACTGATGATAACAAGAAGACTAGGTTGAAGTGGTATATTGACATGATTGATCAAGGTTTGCTTGATGATCCAAAGTTTAAGGATTTGTTTGACTTTGTATTTATTGATGGGAAGTGGTTCTACCTCACTCAAAAATCAGAGAGGTACTACTTGCTACCCGAGGAAGATGAACCACACCGTCTTTGCAAGAACAAGAACTACATCCCTAGGATCATGTTCTTATGTGTGCGTACGGCGTATATACTACTAGGTGGCGCTGAAATGCTATACGATCGGAATCGGACGACGTATGCGTGCGTACGGCGTATATACTACTGCTTTGAATACTCGCAGGACCTCCCAATCAATTCGGACTAAAAAACCAGACGGCCGGGCCGAGTCCGGGAACGTAAACAGATCGGCTTTGAAAGGTCAACTCGCAGCAGCCATGCGTGGCCGCGGAGCAGGCGAGACACGAGACGTGCAGGCGAGGCGGCAGCCGGCAGCCCTTTTGTCTGCGAGCACACGGTGGTGCCATGAATCCCTCTGGCCCTCTCCGTAACCGGCTAGCCGCCGAGGGATAGTCCATGCATGGCATCGCCGCCCCGGTGGTCGGCGCAGCAGCCAGCAGCATCCACGACTGACGCAGCGGCTATATAGCTGGATGCCTCTTTGACGTCTTCCGGTGGATTTGAGTCTTGCCGCCCTCTGTACTCCCACTAGCGGTCAAAGAGTAGTTTCACCAAAAAAAAATTTAAAATATATATATAGTGTTTGACCAATTTTTTTTCGAAATATCAAACAATAATTTAATTATAAATTCATAACAATATGATATTTATGATCTGAATAAGTCCGTCAGTCCCAAAAATAGGTGTTTTCTCGCTTTCCAAAAATATCAATATTCATAGTATATACTCCATCTGTCTTTAATTGTTTATCGTTTTTTATTTTCATGCCATAAGTTTGATTGTACAAAATACGTGCAACATTTGTATCTCTAAATAAATTTAGTATAAAAAATAGATTCAACGATCTAGTATCTAATGATATTAATTTTGTACCATAAGTATTAATATTTCTTTATATATATTTAGTCGAAATTGTTTCTCGGAAAGCAAAAACGATAGTTATTTAGGGACAGATGGAGTATGATTGATATCGTTAGATAAATCGTCGAATTATTTTTATAATAAATTTTTTAAAGATATAAATATTGCTGATATTTTATATAAATCTAGCAAAACCTGATACGGATAGTTTGGACGGACGAAGTTTGGTCCAGATGTATGACAGCACTTCAGCTAAGGGCACGTTTAGATGCAAAAGTTTTTGGGTTTTTGCTACTGTAGCAATTTCGTTTGTATTTGGCAATTAGTGTCTAATTATGAACTAATTAGGTTCGAAAGTTTCGTCTCGCGATTTCTCACCCAACTGTGTAATTAGTTTTTTTCGACTATATTTAGTACTCCATGTGTCGCAAGATTCATGTAAACTGCAAAAAAAATTTAGGAACTAAACATGCCCTAATCTCGGAGTACGATCTATGTACCAGACTAGCACTAGGCTGGCGATAGTCAAAGGCCTATTTGGCCGTGTGGAAGCTTCACAGGTTTCCTGCGCGATCGACTACTGTGTAACAGTGTTTTATAGCTGCTGCTTGCGTGCGTAGTACATACAAAGCCAATGGTCCATGGTTTTCTGGTTTCAGTGGGTAATGGTAATACACGGCGTTCGTACTAGTACAGGAGTACCACCGCTCAATGAGTGCCTTGACCTTTCCACGTCGTGGCGTTTGCATACATGGTGCTGGACTTCTGGTGCCCTCCTCTTGCGTCCGATGCTCTGCTGGCTGCTGGATGGGCTGTGGTGGAAGTCCCTGCTCCCAAGAATGGGAAAGGGGGCAAGCTAGCAGCCAGGCGGCGTGGCCTGTGTTCACGGCACGGCAGAGTAGATGGGTCATGCGTAGCTGTGCCCCAAAGGGCGAAGCCGCGTGGTGACTCCGTACGGCGCGAGCAGTGCTGCCGTAGGACGTACCGCCAGGTTGAGGGCGTCGCACACTCGCCAGCCTGGAACCCAAACCCATCCATCTGTCTGCCTGCTCTGCTCTCGCCGGTGGGACCTCACTATCCCGACGACCGAGAGCGACGAACGGGACACCTGGCCCCGCTGCATGCCCTATGCCTCTGCCTGCAGGAGGAGGCAGCATTCAGAGATCAGAGAGAGCACTGTGTCTTGACGTCGTCTCGTCATACGGGCCCCCTGCCTCCAGGCTCCATGCAGACAAGTGTCGACACTCATGCAAGCAGTAAGCACCGTGCTAGCTGGAAATAATTGCCTGGAAATGCTTTGCTGCCTCGCAATAGAAAAAAAAGATGAAATAGGCCTTGTTTAGATGCATCCGTTCTAAGCTTTTCACCTCTAATCACATCTTTTAATGCTTTTGCTGCCTCGCAATTAAATGTAGGTAAAAAAATAACTAATTACACAGTTTAGTTGGAAATCAAATGAATCTTTTGAGCCTTTATTGGTCCACGAAATATTTGTAAGGCGACGTAAATTTTTTCGCAATCTAAACGAGGCCATACTGTACGTATAGGTAGCCCCAAAAATCGAACTCTTGCGCATGCGGACGTGCCGCGATGGAGCGCGTCGTCTTGCGGCGGGTGGGTGGCTGGTGGCAGCGGCGGCGGCCTGCGCAGACGACGACCCCGGCGCCGACCTGATGCTGATAGAAAAATACTATAACATGACTGCTGGTTTAGTTGACGATTTTTTTTTAGAAAATAGTAATATAGCACTTTTATTTTCATTGTTATTTAGTAATTAATGTCCAATTATAGTCTAATTAGGCTTAAAAGATTCGTCTCGTGAATTTCGTCTAAACTATGTAATTAGTTTTATTTTTTATTTATATTTAATGCTTCGGGCATACGTTCAAAGATTCGATGTGACGGAAAATCTTAAAAAATTTTATAAAATTTTGAAAACTAAGCAGGCACATGACCAAACGAAAAGGGTAAAAATAGTGTACGAAATAGCCTGGAGCCCTGTCCTGAGGCGTTTTTTCTTTCCTCGGGCGCGGGGAGCCGGGGCGGACTGCGAAATGGCCGCCGGGCACGATGGCGACTGGGGCAGCGAATTCCGCGGACGGGAGCGTCCTGTGATCGTGTCCGTGCGAGTGTGGGACGGGGCTTGTCTCTAATCTTAACCCGGAAGCCGCATTTTTACGCGGCGGCCGTCGCTGTCGCGGCCTTTAAGCGCGCTCCTCACGCCGCGGTCCGCTGTTCTCTACGCAGCACACATCACCGTTTGGAGCCGCTGCTCGCATTAACACAAGGGCGAATTATTAGTGCGCTATTACAGGCGCCTGAGCGGAGCGGGGGATTCCTGCCGTGGCTTGGAAGGCGGGAGACTTTTCCTGATCGTCTTCTCCAGATGAGGCAGGTGACTATTACAGTAGCATGATCACAAAGGCGAAAGCTGGATGCGTAAATATCACTGTCCATTTGCCCGATCAGCTTTTTTTACCACTAAAATAAACAATTAAACAATACACCCAAAAGTGACGGAAGATAAGATGCTCGTTAATTATACATATTCTTGTCCCCCAAATCAAGCAAGAGGAGAAAAAAAGGAGCGAACTTTATACAGGCGCGGCACCTAAATCTGGCAAAAGGAAAACAGGAAAAGAAACAGCAGAGCAATCTTCTGGAGTTAAACATGTGTCCGATCGATTTTTCTAACACTCAACAGCTAGCGATGCACGAAGAAGTCGCTGATGACCACCGGCGACCGCTCCAAGAACGGGAACTGGCGCGGTGGCATTGATCAGTTCAGTACTCCCACAGCAGCGGCTCCTCGATGAGCCGGAACGCGCCGCCGCCGGCCACGTCGTCGTCGACGGCCCACGAGGGCGGCCCGCAGCATCTCAGGTCCAGGAGCAGGTCCGGGAGGTCGAACAGCGCGTCGTCCGGGTTGGGCTCGGCGTCCTCCTGCGGGCACGCCGGCGCCGGGGGCGGGGGCGGCGACGCGGCGCTGGCGCTGGCGTCGTCGGACGCGGAGGCGGAGCTGCTGCTCTCGGGGCTCTTGGCATTGGCGCCGCCGCCGGCGACGGGGCACGACGACGACGACGGCAGAGGAGGGAAGTCGGCGGCCGCGGCGAGCGCGGCCGCGGCCTGCACGTCCTTGGGCGCCGCGGAGACCGGGCGCGGGAGCAGGTGCGCGAGCGCCGGGAAGTTGAGGTGCGCCTCGCGGGCGCCCTTGATGGCCAGCGCCGCCACGTCGTGAGCGCGCGCCGCCATCTCCGCGGTGGCGAAGGTGCCGAGCCAGATGCGGGACTTCTTGCGGGGCTCCCTGATCTCCGACACCCACTTGCCCCAGCTCCGCATGCGCACGCCGCGGTACGTCGTGTGCCGTCTGCCGTCCTTGCGCGCCCGCTTCTTCGGGACCACGGAGGACGACGAGGAAAAGGAGGACGACGAGGACGGGGACGGGGAGGCCGGCTCCTGAGTGTCGTCCATGTCCATGGCGGCTTCCTGACTGCCTGCGGAGCGGCGGTGGTGGAGCTGTTGGGCCGGAGCGACTGGGGAGTGGAGACCTGAAGAAGTGGAGACGGGAGGAGCAGAGCGCCGCGTCTGGTTTTTATGGTGTGCCGCGGAGGCCAGAGCGACGTGGCATAGCAATGGAAACATCGGACGACGCCACCCCGGCCTTGTTTGGACGTGTAGTTTTCAGAAACCGTGTACACAAGCAGAGTGCGTTTGACAGCGAAAAAGTTTCAAATTCTTGGTTCAATCATGCTACAAAGAGAGAAATGTTAAAACGGAATTATTTAAAATAATTTATTTATTTTGTTGACATTATACATTTACATCTTCCGGGAGCTGTCAAAGTGGTCATATAATTCGAAAAAAGTGTTTACCCCTGTGTCGAACTGCGTGACCGCCCCTACTCAGTGACGTGCAAGCCACCAGTCACCGCCGACAAGCTAGTGTTCCGTGCCGGTACGCCTCATCAGCAGGTAGACAGCACAGATCCACCGGCGACTAGGGTGGTACTCAACACCGTCGTCGCCACTCGAGCTCAATGTCGCATGATACAAAGGCAATGGTAATGCTTTCGCACTTCCCTTATGCATTGTTCTTGGATTTTTATTCCCTTCTTCACTCGTCTGAGCATGAATGAAGCTTCCATCTGATTATTAACGAGCTCATGAACACATCTTTGTAGTCGCTCCTTCTCTGATTCAGGCGACAGCGCTGCCGCTTCCATCATCGTCCCCGCTCCACCAGATCCTCGTCAAGATGGAGGAGGAGGCCCAACGAAGTGGCCATCCTCTCAGACCATGTTTGGTCCTCATCCTCAGCTGCCTCACCGTCTGCTGCTTGTGCAGCTGTAAGTGTGTCTATCGCTCCTGGATCCGAGTATCATAAGGAGCTGCCCTAGATTCTCGTCGGATTCTTCTACCACAACTAGAAATGCAAACGCAACTTCACCGGCATCAACGGTGAATACCCCTCCTTGTCCTTCTTGCCCTTCCCCATTCAGGATGTCGTGATCTCAGATTGCTCACGGGGCCTCATCCTCTTCTAGTACTCTGGGTTTCGCTATGTTGTCTGCAATCCGGTGACTAAGAAATGGTTGCTACTGTCGGGTAGCAACCATTCTTCTGGTTTAGCTCGCTTGGGGTTTGATCCGATAGTCTCCTCGCACTTTCCATATGTTTGAATATGGGATCAACGATGATGACTCCTTAGGTGTCAACATCTACTCATCTAAAACTAGAGCATGGATCTTTAAAGAATCTGAATGGGGCGAGGGTATTGTAGTATCCATATATGAGAAAGGTGTGTTTGTTAATGGTTTTATGCACATGCTGGAGTTCACCCAGATAGTTGTTGTTGATATGGTGGGAAAGATATGGAGAAAAATTCGTAGGCCAATTGGTGATGCAATCTCCATCCATAAAGCTCAGGGTCAGTTGTGTTTATGTACTGCTGATACTTTGAATATATATGAGCTTTCAATCTAGATCCTTGAAGACTATGGTACTATTAAATGGACATTGAAGCATAAGGTGACCACGCTGAAGCTATTTGGAAAGAAGAATATTGAAATCGGTACCAAGGTTTGTGATGCGGCCTACAGAGTGATTGCAGTTCGTCCAGAATGGAATTTGATTTTCCTTATTAGAGAGGATAAATCACTGCTTGCATATGACATGAACCGCAGTAAAGTTCATGTCCTATCTGCCCGGGCCATCGGCTATCCTAGAAGTACCTAAAAACTATTATGTATGAGCGGTGGATCTCACTATCTTCCTTGTGTTCCCTTGTTCATGGAGTCATTAGCAGAGCAATAAAGGTGCATATGTTGTGTTATTGTAATTACATCATGCCTTTGTTCTGGTAGGTAGTTGTTTTGATTCTATATATAAGCCAATTTAGGCTTCGTAACTAAAGGAATGGTGTGTTGAATATTATTAATTGTGCTGCTTTATGCAGGTGTAGTCTGAGTGCTTTTGAATAATTTTCCTACATTGACTAGGAGAAAGAAGAGGGGTTCCATGGTGCATTGCCTACCAATTCGAAGGATGCACTAATTATATTTATTTTTGCCTCGCAAGCTGGAGTGCCACATAGGAGGAGCACAGCCATGTCATTTCGTTATGTAAGCCTGTAGAGACCAGTACCTTTAGTTTGCAATCTATGTACCGCTTGTGTTAGGACATCAGTTCAGAAAGATATTATAGTAAGCGTCCAATGTTATTGTAAGAACATGGTTTATGGATGCAATGATTATATCTGTATGCTTTGTGTTCAGTAAGCTATTAAGGGCCATTTATTGTTTTGTTATCACCACCGCCGTTGGTGGTGCAGACGTCCAACACCGTCGCTATACGTATTATGTGGCAGCGATCAAAGTGTATCACCGTCGAATCATTTAGTAATCCGACACCGACTAAACAATCATCAAATGCGGATTGTGGTGCAAGGTGACTGTGACCATGACTTTGCACTGGCGGTTCATACACTGAAGCGATGGTGGCGTTAACCTCTACATAGGCATCTCGACCGTCGAACCGACAGTGAACCCACACCGCTAACAGTCAGGTCGAAGTACGAGGTGACGGTGCTGGATGACCACTACACAGGTGGTTGATGTGCCCACGCGATGGTTTTGATAGCCTCAACATAGTTAGATCATTTGCCAATGCGGCGGTGTTAGTGTACATCCATAGCTGGGTCGTGCTCCAATGCGACTGAAGTAAGGACCTTAGCACGGACGAATCATAAGGCAATTGGCGGTGTGAGTGTACACTGCAGACGATCTCAGATAGCGACGGTGAAGGCTATGACCATCACTGTCGACAGCTTACTGTCAAGGCCAAAATTGGACTACGATGTGCGTTACGATGCGGCTGTGAAAGGTGCGAGTGTAGTACTATCAACCAACCAACAAAAGTTGGGCCCGAGGCGCGCAATGGTGGTGCGAGCGCACCAAGGTGTGCGGCCGCACCCCAACTAGGCCCAAATGAGCCTAGGTTTGGCTGGTGGCCTCCTGTGACCTTCTAGAGTGGGCCTGCAAAGTTTCACGCTGTTTGGAGCACGTTTGCTTTAGGTTTTGGGCATTTTTCTCCACATGACAGGCCCTAATTTGTCGGGTAAGTGGGCCTTCTCCTCATGGACTCATGTCGGGTGATGTTACGCCTTGTCATATTGCGTATTTGGTCGCGTTTTCCTTGTTATTCTGACATGTCCTCCTGTAAATGGTAAAATACCAAAACTCATGGAAATCGTTAGTTCTAAAGCCCTATGTGTAAGTTTGGTGATTATTTTGGTGGATTTTATGCGAGTGTTGGCGGTTAAAAGTGTGAGTTAAGGCCCGCCAACACTAATAAATCATCACAAGAGGTGGATAAATGCTTCTTCCCTACATCACAAGAATTAGTCACATGTTGCAATTGATCACTTGACTCATATGATGAGCTCTCATTATTTTTAATTTTCTTGGAAAACATTTTAATGAGAGAAGCATGTTATTCTAATAATTCTTCATGAGACGCAAGAAGCTTCTCATGAGTCAATCTTAGCTCATCATGTGAAGATTTAAGAACATGAAGTAAGTGCTTATGATCTTCCCATGAATTCTTTAGAAATGAATTTTCTTTTTCCAATTTCATTATTTTAACTTTCTCATTTTGTAAAGACATGGTCATGCTAGAAAGTCTAATAACAAGCTCATCATATGAATCAACATGATCAACCACATTTAGCATTTTGTACCTTTGTGTCACCTTGTGACATGAAGCAATGTGGTGTAGTGGATGAGCTTGTAGTAGCATCACAATTACGGCCCGACATGAACCATCATCACCAAGTGTGCTTGAGGTAGAATCATCATTTGCATCACTTGGGGCATCACCATCAAACTTGTCAAGTGAACTTGTGGTAGATACATCATCATTATCATCATCACTTGACCATGAGGTGGAGCAATCTTCCACAATCACCAAATTGTGGTTAAGCTCAACACACTGATGCGCCTCCTCCTTGTGATCATACTCCTTGACTTTGTCCTCGTCACTTGTGGAGGAGTCACCATAGAGGTGGTTGACTGCCTCCCACAACTCACGGGCAGTTCCTTTACAATCCACCCTATAATAAATCTCCAGACTCAAAATATCCATTATAAAGAAATAAGCATGTGCATCAAGTTCAAAGAGAACACTTTGAGCTTTGGTGAGATTTTTATGATCTAACACATGAGAAATGCCATTCATAACTATTCACCAAAACTTAGGTCCCTTTGCATGAAAATGATCAAGCATGTGAATTTTTCACCGTGCAAAGTGTGTGCCATCAAAAATATGTGAGTCACAATCATCTAGCCCACTAATCGCCATCCTCTCGGGTCGGTGAAGACCACAAATGAGTGACTTAGTTCTGATACCACGTGTAGGGTCGAGATGGCGGACTAGAGGGGGGTGAATAGTCCTTTCTAAAATTAATCGCGTAGGCTAACCGAGACAAATGCGGAATTAAAACTAACGGTCTAGCCAAGACTACACCCATCTATCTAAGTTCACAAGCACATTAAAAAGATCCTAATTAGGCAACAAAGGTGCCGGGCTAGCTAGAGCTCACATAATCAATTCTAGGAGCAAGGTTAAACAAACCTATGCCACTAGTACTTAAGCAATGGGGGAGCTCCTACACATGCTAGCAAGCAAAAGAACAAAGCCACCTAAGCTCACTAGCAATGCTCAATAACAAGGCTACACAAGCCAAATTATAGAGCGTAAATTATTTAGCTACACAGACTAAGCAATGTGACTAACAAGGTTACTCAAACCAAATTAGTCATGCAAGGGAGCTACTTCTAAGCTACACAAGCAAACTAATTACAAAAGTAACTACACAAGCACAATGTATAAGAAAGTAATTACAAGCTTGTGTAAGGAAATTGCAAACCAACGGGAAAATAAGGATGACACGATGATTTTATCCTAAGGTTCACATGCTTG